AATACTCCTTGTATTGAAAAAAATCCTCCTTGTACTTCTCCGAGATCATCATCATAATGTCCATGATCAACAAAGCTTCATTCATAAATGTATCATACATCAATTGTATTCCTTTATCATCGCATGTTCAAAATATCAACATTAAATTTGCTTGTTGCCGTGTCTATCTTCTATGATATAATCAAATTCTACAAGTAGTAACTTTTCTTTAGTTATTTTTTCCTAAAAATTAAATTAGTTGAAAATATATTTCAAAATCTTGTAATTAGTCATTCTAGTGATTTTTTATCCAAAGGGTAAAATCAAAACTTCTTAAGTGAAGAACTTAAGGCTAAGTAATTTATTTCTGTCATTTTTCTTGCTTGCACAATCTATCTACTAGCATAAGTTATTGGATGATCATGTTTTTTTTCATCAAACTAACTCAATGTGCATCCTATAGCAATGTTTGATGCATATGTGTAAAGAAGAAAAAAATTATCCAATTTGATTTTGCCAAAATTGGATCCATCATCAAAATTGTATGATTTTTAAATTTTGAATTGCAGATCTAGAGAATGGGAAACTCAATCTTGCAAAAACCTTATCTTCAAACTAAGATGTCAATTAAAACTGAAATTTGGTGGAGATGTTAAATTGAGAAAATCACACTAAGTTGGAAAATTTCAAAATCAAAAAAGTTTCATGACTAAAGTGATATGATTCTTGATTTTTGAATTTTTGAATTTATGAATTAGATAATTAAATCTTGAAATCATATCTTCAAGACGGAAATTCAATTGAATTTCAGATTTTGTGAAATTGTGGATTTGAAAAAGCTGCAATAGCTTGCAACATTTCAAGCTCAAGGAAGTTTCAAAGCTGTGTGATTTTTGAACTTTAAAATTTTAGTTTTGAGATGGGAAAATACAATATTGAGGATATTATATCTTTGAGCTCAAGTGTGAACTGAAGTTGAAATTGTGTTGGAACATGCAGTTGGCAAAGCCGCAATACCGTGCAAAGTTTTAAGCTCAAAAAATTATAAATGCTTTAAAATTATCTACTTGATGGCTAGTCAAGACAAAATTTTAAATCTTGTGCAAGAGATTTGAAGTTCAAACTTTGTGGAAAAGTGGATTTAGAAAAATGGCAATAACGTGCAAAATTTTAAACTCAATAAATTTTTAGTTTGTGTGATTTTTGAGTTTTTAGGTATTGGACAACTCAATCTTGTAGAGATCATATTTTTGAGCTAGAGTGTGAACTGAAGTTGAAATTTTGTGAGTGACGTGGTATTAACAAAGACTCATTAGCATGCAAAGTTTCAAGCTCAACAAAGTTACAAATACTATAAAATTGACTACTCAAAACAAAATGTTGAATCTTGTGCAAGCCATCTTGCATGAATTGAAATAATTTCAATACAAATTCATGGTACAAATTGCTTAGTTGATCCTTGCAGGGACTTTAGTATGAAAGTTAAAAGTGTCACAAAAGAATGTGAAAAAGACGTTGAAAGATAATTCTTTTGTAATGTTTGATGTATCTAGATCCGTTGAAAGTATTTAAAAGAAGACATGCTATCTAGAAATTATTTGTAATTTTTCTAGATTGCATGAGGTGATTAAAAATTTATAAGTCACAATAAAATGTTATGCTGAAGCTATAAATATTGCTCATATTTTTTTTATGTCAAAAGCAAGAGATTAAAACAACATGCTAATTTGCATGCATAAAGAATGTGAAAATTTCAGGTTTTTTTCGAACGGAGAATGAAGAGATGTAAGGTGTTGTCATCAAATTCTTGACTAAATCACTTCATGTTCATAATTCGCATTTGACTCAAACTTTCTGTATTGAAAAAATAAAAAATCCAACTTTGAGACATTTTAGTTAATTTAGTTGATCAAACTCAATGTGATATTGCTCTAGCTAACAAGATCATTCTCCAAGAACGAAGTATTTGATTGGATATTGATCTTTTATTTTTTACAAGTTGAAGCAAGGCGAAAGTAGCTTACAAAGTCAAAAAAACTCAAGAAGCAGGTTTATCACTTAACTATGTGGTGTTCAAGCAATTATTATCAAACGTAAAAGATAATCATTAAACTAGTAATTCAAAAAGTTAAGGGTTTTGATGTGGAATAAACAAGAACTTTCTACAACAAAGTATGTGAATGTTCATTCAAGTGAGAAATGGCGAACAACATCAATATTGTTGAGACCAAGAAACATGAATATAATACTATTGGAGATTCACAAAGGTTTACTTTAGTGAGATTCACTTGGTATCATAAAAAATAACAAGTTGAGTGAGGTCATGACAATATTGCTACTTTCATCACGTTTCAATTTTTACCTATTATACATCAAGAAGATTTTGATATTGGAGATGAATATCATTGGCTTTGTCTTGGATTGGAAGTAATATCTTGTTATTATTTTGCACCATTGTTCATACTCGTCTACTCCACATGCGCTTGCAATAAAAAACTTTCATTCTATCAACTCATTGAAAACATTTTCAAATCTCAATGCAAAGGAGAAGTTTTTCTTGTTCAAGATTTCAATGCTTCCATACGTTCTATTCAATTTTTCCAATTTAGTGATTCCTTGAGTTTTCTTATTTTTGGAATAACTTGAGTATTGTTTGTTTAGCATCTCTTTTGGTCCTACTACAAATTCTTTGACAAAACACTTTTTAAGTTTTAGAAACACATGTAATTTGAAGTTTTCAATGACATTTTTTTTAATTTTTAACTCCAATACGTTTTTAAACTCTACCGACATTAGCACTATTGATTATTTTTTATACTCGTCCATTAGTAGCTCTCTTATCTCTACATTTGATATTTTGATACTTAGTCAAATTTAGATGATGCATCTCTTTTATCTACTCTTTTACAATCAAAGACAATTTTTCTCTCTACTTGTCATTCTGTTTTAGCTTCCCCCAAGTTTTGTCTAGATACTAGTAAAAAAATCCTGTATATGCTACATTTACAAGACTTTTTTATTCAAATTATATGGAGCTCTAATTCACATGTAGAAAGTTTACAACTAATTGAAATTGCTCAAAAACACTACTTCTAAGTTATTTTTGCAACATAGGGACAAGATTTGACTTTGATTGCAAGCATCGGCGATATTAGTTGATAAATCTTTGGTTTTTCAAATTTTGTTCATTATGACAAGGCTTTACAAAGACTTGATGAAGGCTAAGAAGCTTTTTTGAGTCGCAAGCAATAGTCCTTGACAAGGAAGTTGTTGGAGTATCTTAATTTTTTTTGGAAACGGTTAGTAGTATGATTTTCAAAATCTACTTTTGACACCAAATCTTTGAAATTTTTCTCCTGAAAAATTCAATTTATTTCCCTACGTTTCATCAATGACACGTTGTGAAGACATAACTAGCTTATATTTTGAAGCAGAGTTTATTACAATAATTAAAATTAGAATGACAATTTTGGTTTGTAGAGCTTGAAGCAAGCCGTTAGCAAATGCTTGATCATGCCATAATTTTTAACATTCTTAATATTAGAGATTAAAACTTCTTGTTTCAATGTGTCTCTTAATGTTATAAATATTCTTGGTTGCCTATTCATAGCAATACACATGCAAATTCATTTAATGTGTTGTATAACATAACTATAATATGCATTTTGCTTTGCTCTTTTATTCATTGTCGAGTAAAAATATAGAGTTCACACAAATACAATTATGAATAGAATTGTAGAAATACATGAATCATTTCTAAGAAATCTATTTCAACAAGAACACAAATATTTTATTATAACAAAATCTTTAATTTGTGTACTTGATAGCTACAACTTTATAATAGGACAATCCTAGTCAACCTTATTGAAGTTAGACTAACTTAAGTAAATAATCTTTGACTTGACTCTTGACAAAGATTTCTGTCATATTGATACAAAGAGTGTGGTGAATAAACTCAAAACTTTTCAGTAAAGTAATGTTTGATCATCAATGAGTGCTTTTAATCTTTTATATAAGTATTTGAGTTTTTATGAGAGTTGTTAAGAGAATATAAAATATGTAGATTAGGAGATGATGTAAGAAACATGCGACCGCGGTAAAAACATTTAATTTTAGATTTATCACAAGCTTCCGAAAAATCATCTTAGAGGAATCTGAGACAAAATTAACATACAATTAAGTGTTTAAACTTACTGTTTGCTTGTTGGTATATAGTTTGAATCATATTCATGCACCAGTCAACTTGGACATGTAGATTGACATATATTTGGGTTTCGTGTCATTCATTTTCGTCAATATTGGGACTACACTTGTTTTCAAGTATGACACAAATGCAACACCAAAGACAGACTAAGCAATTTTGTGAGTCGCAGAACAATCAATGTACTCTTTAGTAGGAATGAATGGACTCTTTCCCATGTTGCATAGATTTGACATCTTTGCATAAGATTATGACGGGCTCATTACTAATTGAGGCTTCCTTTTACTTGGGGAAGATATTTGGACGTCATTAATGTCCGAATTCTGAACTCAACAACACCTTACACTGGAATGAACCCACGGCCGGTGTCTTCTTCAGACTCACAAAACCCAAAGTCCATCACGAGATGGATACTTCTTTCTTGAGATCACCCAAGCTATAGAGATGCACATACAAAAAAGAAAAATACACAATCCATTCCCTCCAACATTGCAGTTCTACTTCTCGACAAATTCCCAAACAATCAATTTGTCTCCTTACTCTCTCTTTTCTTCTCGCACTGCAAATACTATTTCTTCCTCTTCCGATTTCTTCCCCACATGGACAAACATAGTAAATGCATTTGTACTTCCACTGGTTCCATTCATTCTGGTGGTGAAATACTCTCTATCAAGCCCAATGTTACATGTTATCACTGAAAACAAAAAGATACTCACAAAATCTGTATGAACGGCGAGAAGTCTGATGGTGATTATCCATAACTTGACCCGAACCATTCAGTGTGTGTTGTACCTTGCCTCTACCGGCAAATTGAGACAACTTTAATAAGAGTACTGAGAAAAGTACAGGAGTCGCAGGATTGGATTGGATAGATGGATGTGCAGAGTGACTGATTTGGGCCATCCGCGGTAACGACGCATGCATTGCCTGTGCATGCTAATGGTGCGGCGAGTGAAGGAGGCACGGGATGAAGGGACATTGAAGAGCGGGGCAAGACGCAGTGAGCTAGCGCCAGAGAGGGAGAGCCATGGCATCTGTTTGTTCCCCACCCGATCACCTGCTCGCCGTCTGTTGCTGTCACCGTGACTCGTTTGCAGTCAGGAATGGCAGTGCCGTGCCGGTGAGTGTTAGATTTTCGGATTTCCATCTTCGTGCGGGAGGATGGCGCACTACAGGGCCAGGAGGATCTGGAGTGGCTAGACATTCTTCGAGACTTCGAATTCGCTGCAGCGAGACGCAGAGCGCCGTCGTCTCAGCCCAGGTAGCTGACGGAAAGAGGCTTTGCAGCTCAATTCGGTGTAGTGCGTTCTATTTTGACTGGCAGTTCTGGTTGTTCTCTTTCTTCGTATTTGTTTGTTTCCTTTCCTTTCCCAGCCTGTTGATGTAATGGTACCAAGTGCATTGCGTTCGTAGAGTCGAGTACTTTCTGAACTCTTTCATGTGAGCAGTTGAGCAATTTGATTCAATCAATATGTGTGACAGAAGTACCTATTATTGTGAAGAACGGTTTCTATGGGAGTGTCAAATTCACCATAAGGTAATTCATGTAATTGAGCACCTTATCTGTAATCAAAATTACGAAAAGTGACCACACTGAGCTTGATTTTTATCAGTTACCGCATAGACAGAGATCAGAGTCTAAAGAAGGTACTTGGAAGGCAAGCAGATGCATGAATGTCTAAGCACACCTCAGGTTTGTGATAAGATCCAAAACCACTGATTTGCATCAGACTGTACTTTACCTCCTCGCCTCTTCCTCTTACTCTCTCTATGCGTTCTATGTGCTCTTCCCATTTCTGCTGAGTCCGTTTGATCTATAGAAGACAAGGCACTCTGTTCTGAGAGTAGACTGGAGATTTGTTTTGATATTTAAGGTGTGATCAGTCGACAATGGACGACAGTTGTGTACTTCAATTTCTCACTGATTTATGGAACAGATCCATCACCACATCTGGGGTTATGGAATCTCCTTCAAGTGGATGATCAAAGATGTGCGATAAACCATCTTTGATCAAAGATCTTTGACAGACTCATGACCGTAGATCCCACATTGGAACTTATACATAGAAAGACGGTTTCTGAGAGATAAAACAGATACTGAGGATTTTATTGAGGTGCATCGCCTACTGATCTAAGGATGTATCTGATAAAAGCGTGTTGGCTGTCTCCTTTCAAGCTATCAGAGTCCACGTTTGTTGTTTTGGGGAAAGAATTTCATGGTGTAAAGTTTTCATCTTAAAAGGCGATGTACACTCCGTCACGATGTGTTGTTTGCCCGGAAGCTTTTTTTGTATATATTATGTGAACAGGTCACGACTAATGAGCACACCGTATCAATACCTTTATCAACAGTATCCTAGCACCTTCCACCCAGGGCATAAGATCTAAAAATTTCAGCCTATGGCAGGCACATATTAATGTCAACAGTTCATTATCAATATCATCGTAGATTGTTGCAAGAAAAATGTTGTCTATTCATCTGCTTTCATTTTGTGCATCATCGTAGGAAAGCATACATGGAGTAGTCTAATCAACTGACTTGAAGTTCATATAAAAGAAACAGTCTCATGTATGTACTTAATGGAATATCTACTAGGTATGCATATATGTCAATGTTTTCAGTTAATATTGACTTAAACGATAGAGTACTAGGTTTCTTTATCATTTTACTCTGTAATGACGTAAATATGACCCTAAGATTACAACTCTTCAGAGTTGTAATCCCGAATTTTTTCCGTGCTACATGATGCGCAAATGAAAATCGAAACTGAACTGCAAAGAATATAAAAGGAGTGGAAAACGCACGAAGAGCGAGAAGCACAAATGCCTGCATGTGACAGATCACCAAATGAAAGAGACAGAAGTTAAAAGAACTTCAAGAGAAGGGCTTTCACTAAAGAATCTGTTGAGTAGGAACACTTCAAAGGTATCTATATTGCTTAGTGTGACTGATAAAGTTGAACTTCTACATGTTGGGGACATCCAGACGACAATAACTCAGAAGTCAATGTGCTTATGAGATCACAGATCAGTATTTGTGGATAGAAAGATCTCAATGAGACCAGAGTTTTGATGCTTTGGTCTACTAGCTGATGGCTGAACTAAATCCTAAACCTACTAACCCTTCTGAAAGGACGCGTTAACTGGAAGAGATGAGGAATCGATAATGCTATTAAAACTGTCACATTTTGCACCACCAGCTAGCAAACTGCGCAACCATCCAACATCATGATTCTACCTTTCAACCGTAGAAATGAGTATATTTTTCATAATGTATATAGTAACTAGTATGTCCATAGAGTTTGTATATGAAACAGTAAATGTCGTCCAGACGAGGCTAGCAGCGTCGTTGTTGACTGTTTAGATAGGACCGGCAACTCAATGTTGCGTGGTGTTGATTTGAAAGAAGTCCTTGTGTAGCTACGGGCTTTAAATTTGCAGGTGTTTGAAGAGCAATTCAGATGTGGCGCATGTTGATGCAAACTTCATTGCCAGTAGTTTTGTTTCAACCGTTTCTCCTCTTTTTGCTAAGCGAGGAGTCCATAGCTGTTCGTATGTGGAGAAGGCGGAGAAGGCGCACGATGCCGACCATATTAGAATTATTACTGTTCTTATGTGAACCCACGTTCCTTGTCTTCTCTGTGCGTACAACGACGTCGAGGGATGAGCATGTTAGCTCTATGATACTTGCTTTGAAGACACTTTACATCCTTCTTTCCAGTAGTTTTAATTAATGTATCCTCTCTACCTACTGATATGGTCTGCATCGTGCATTTTTCCGCTTAATAGCATAGATGCGTTTGCATCTATCTCCATGCTAAACAAACTTCCAAGCATTCTTGATTTGTTTGCAATCTTTTGAGAAGCTTTACTTTTCTTAATATTCTTAAATTTGTATTTTTCATGACGTATTCAGTTCCCACTACACACCTCACTCCTTTCAGGATCTTCAATGCTCTTTCATTGCATTCCTTGGTCCTCGTGGATCTTCTCACGACGATATCGATGCCATTGACATGTACTATTCCTTCTAGCAATTATTTGTTCTCACCTGTGGAATATTCTATTTCATTCTGTTGTGCTGGAGAGTGTTATTTTAACTTTCTTGCCTTTCAGATCACATGATCTCTTGAAACAAGCATAGCACTTCTTAATTCGTGAGTAGTGTTTAGATAACTAAGCTAGCTAACGATTTCCTCGACAAAACTAGATAAACTTTGAACTCTCCCTACTGAAATTTTCGGATCTGTATATTATAGAGACCCGACTGTTATTACTCAACGTTGGTCTTTTGGAAAGCTTACATGTGTAGTCATCACAATTTCATGACTGTCTTTGCTCAATTTCTGATTTTTCAGCTGGAATACTCTCTGTGGTCTCCAAGGTCAGGGTCACCTCTCTTGGAGCTGAATTTTGTTGCAGCTACTAAGTCTTAGATCTCGCCCTCAAAGATTATGAACCGCCTGCTTGCTCTATTCTACGTTGTATTAATACAACACCACGTCGCCGGTTTCGTTGTTTTTCTTTTTGGGTTATATGCTGCATATTCACGGAGTATTTAATCATACTTCGTCCATGTTTGAGGCAGTGGTTAGTCTTGGCACCATGGTCTGAGACCAAAGGTGGACAACGTCTTGCGTTTTCCAAATTCAGATTCTCGTTTTCTTATTTAAGCCGCATCCATACGAAGTCAGGTTATGACTGTGCGTGATAGTCTTTCATCACACGCCTCCAAGAAGCTATTCTTGATTGGACGTAAACACTACAAATTGCTTGTGCTGGATGGGACTATCTTGTATGAAGAGATGATAGCAGCATCTTACTTGTTTCTGATGAGGACCTGTCGATGGTAGTAACATACAAGGATTCTTGTGAGCCCATTGAAACGTAAATCATGTACAAGTCATGCTCGTATTTTATACCAATCACAATACTGTCTTACACCTTGGCACACACGTTGTAGAAAGCATGCGTTGTTTCTATTGAGTTGAAAGGATACTAAGATTTTGACTTGTGAAGTCACCAACTCTGAAGATGTCACAATCTTAGTAACACAAACAACAGAGGTATTCTTTTGCCATGTGCTGTTCACCCACGCTAAAGATATAGTATCTAGCCTGTGGTCTAGCTTTGCAACTAGAGAGGTTAAGTTCTTGTTATCTTATATTGTTTCGGTAGCATCCTTGTAGGTTAAGACTAGCACTGCTCAGTCAAGCCATGATCTTCAGGCTATAACCGGCAAATATCAGCGACTACTGTTTGCATGTTAAAATGCAACATGACAATGCCTTTGTCAGTGGGGTTGGTCTGTCAAAAGGTTTCAATGTTCATTTGTGGTGTTCAATGATTCTATATATTTGTGTAGCAGTACAAATTGATCGGCTGAAGTCAAGTTTGAAGGACTTTCGTACACAGAACATGACTGTTTGTACGTTAGTACAAACAGTAGTTTATCGGAGGGCTAATGCTAGGGTGAAGAGACCAGGCCGGTCTTTATGTGAGGAATTCGCAAAGACCCTACACCAAAAATCCTCTCGATGTAATATAAGATTCTTAAACTTTACTTGCCTTGAGCAATGGAGAAGTTGAGGTTGTCGATGCAACTTTCCATCTAAAGTCTTTTTCTACTTCTCTGTTCTCTGCTCTCTGAGTAAGGCTATGACAGGAAATTACTAATGAGTACCGTTCATTCATGTCCTATTCATCGCGTACTCAAGCCCTGGAAGCACACACTCTTGTACGGTCTAGTACAGTGCAACACTGACCAAGTTATATTACTTTTTGTCTACAACCAACCTTCTCTCTTCTCTTCAATCTTCAAGTAGTTCATTCACTTTTTCATTTTTGTCTACAACTAACCTTCTCTGTTCTCTTAAATTTTCAAGTAGTTCCTTCACTTTTTCATTTTTATCCTGGATTAAAAATCAGTTAGGAGTTTCCATCCAAATGCATTCTTTCTTCTCATTATCTTACCTGGTAGATTACGTGGGACTCAAACTTAACAATGAGACTGTGATGTCAGCATCCCTGACAGACGTGTCCTTGAGGAAAGATGTCAATGACACGTCTGTCAGGGAAGCGATAAATAATAACATATGTAACTCACATTCAGAACGAACTTCAATGTGAACTGCACGGGTACAAACTACCATGTAGAAGTCGCTATGACAACCGAAGCTGTCAGCGACACTGAAGGTCATGTATATGATCTTTACTACTGTTTTCCTGACCATTTGTCGCCTGTGGTTTCCTTCCTTTTTTGTCTCTCTTAACTCTTTTCTTTGAAGTCAAACCATGAAGCCCCCCGAAACGCTATACAGCTACATTCAGAGTGAAAATTCATAAATTCATTGAACGCTACAACCGTACTTTCGGGGCTTCTGCAAATTGAGTTTCCTATATAATACTTGTGACCTGCTTTAACCAGTGCTAGAAATTATGACTTTGATAACTTCTAGTAACAGTATGGACTTTGGTGACAATATTCAGAAGTGTTACTTTATGCTCGTTACTAAATAGTAACGAGCATACACAATCCAGCTGTGAAGTGTTTGGAGCACATACAGACTAAAGGGTACATTTATGCGTCATTCACGTCCCTGAGCAGAAGGCCTCTCAGTTTTTGTCTCATACGATTTTGTTTCATATCCCTGCTGTACAATTTCAGAATCCGTTGTTTGAGTTCCAAATCGAGTGTTGTTTTCATCAATTACTTTCCTAGTCCACTAGAATGAATGGAGGACGGTTTGTTGATCTACAGTATGTTACCGGATGATTATACTCTGATATATGATATAGACTGTACGTCTTCCTATATGCTCAGCTTTGTCCCAGGTGCTATTAGGTCCTTCATCCTGGTCCTCAAGTGGATCTTTTGCAATATCAGTGGTGTTCAGTCCTCCGGGCCTTGTAGCTACTTAGCACCTTAGATTGAGTAGAGTAATGTGTATCACTCTAATCCGGGTTCTCTCATCTCTGGCTGTGGACGTGACTCCAAGAGCAAGACGGGGTCGGTTCGATTATTCAATTCTGTGGTTTGGGCACAACTAAGTTTGTTCAAACGAGTTTACGTCTCAAATGAATCCAAAATTGTTGACGTGTATCGTGCATCTAATTCTTCTCTCTTATAGTTTTTGTTGGCGGGCGTATTATACTTATTATCGACATCAGTACCGACTCTTTTGTTCTTCAGAAATGTATCCTCACTGACTTTGATCATTTCACTAGAAACACACAGATGTCAAAGGTGGTGATTGTTTTTTTACGGGAATAACATAACCCCAATGAAATTTGTTGTGAAGCAATACACATCAGTATTAACAACAACTCGGTGTCTTGGTCCTGATCGGGGCTTTCATATTTTCCAAATCGATATCGTGTACCAAGCATATTGGCATGGACGCACGAATTACTTCCTGATGCAAAACTATCATAAGAACTATGGAATCATGAGAAACGAAACTTGCAGCAAAAGTTTCGCTTATGTTTACAGGCCACGGAGAGTACAAAGATCGTTTGTGAGGTCTGCCGAGGTCTAGGATTCTTCATCTGTGATTATTGCAATGGAGAAAAAGTAAATGTTCCTGTGAAAAATAGAAACAATCGGGACGCACGAATTACTTCCTGATGCAAAACTATCATAAGAACTATGGAATTATGAGAAACTGAAGATGCAAGTTTCGCTTATGTTTACAGGTCACGGAGAGTACAAAGATAGTTTGTGAGGTCTGCCGAGGTCTAGGATTCTTCATCTGTGATTATTGCAATGGAGAAAAAGTAAATGTTCCTGTGAAAAATAGAAACAATCGATTTCACCGACGGTGTCCCACTTGTAGAGCTGTAAGTATCTCGAATCTACTCCAATGTCTGAAATTTCCTTTGTACCGATCCACTTTCCGTCCTTCTCCTGTGCTTTTATTAGCTCATTCCCCTCATGGTGATGCTGTCCGGACAACTTACTTATGTATGCAGGTCATAGATAAAATGAGAAAAATTTTATGTTTTGATCTGTTATGCAAATCTTTACTTATGTTGGATAGAGAAATATTTACTATTGTACGTGCACTCAGTTGTACCAATGTACCTTCAGCTAATCTTAGAATTTTTCTCTTCGTAGTATCTAGTACAATGTCGAGCTTCCACACAACTCATCTGAACCTTCTTCTTCTTTGTCGGTTTCGAAAACTGGCAGGTGGGAGTGCTCATGTGTTCCCGATGTAGAGTTTTCAAGTGCGTATCGTTTCCTGATGAACATGATGGATCTCTCGAGAAGAAAAGATAGTCACTGTTTTCATCTGTACATTATGATACATATCTATTTATCTCACGCACCATCAATGCAAATCACCAATATCTTGAACTTCAGGATTTCAGCTGAAGATCATGAGCAGATGATAATGATCTCCATTTGCAGTTGTACATGGAGATCATTAGCATCATTAAAAAAAATTGAGATCTTAGCACATCCAGGCAATCACAAAGCGACTGAGTAATCGGAATTTTGTTCTCATGGTGTTGAAAGTGGAATGACTTGCATTATGTTAAGCGTAGTCATGTTTTCTGCTTAAGGTCGTTTTCTTCTTTTACTCGGAAAAAATAGCCGATCAGAGCATCCCATCATCAGGCAAGTCGACGATGCACATGTATGAACTTGGAAAACCAGCTTTTCTAGCTTCTGGATGGTGATGAAGTCCTGAGTTCTGTCGAAGATAAGGGATGGCAAGTACTAGCACAACTGAAGACACTTCTGAGTCTACTCCTAGATAGATATGAATGCACTGTAGTCTTCAGCAGGATTTAGTCGAGCATGTCTAGTTCAGGCCATCCGCCAGCCTGCTATTGAGGTTCTCACAACTCTAAAACTGGCGAACCAAACTTGGGACGAGCCTTATGGTTGCACAAGGGGAAAGTGTCTGAGAGCCGGGTCAGTCTCCCGTCTACCACCGACGTGCAGCAGATAATCAGAACTGCACACAGAACCTGGTGTTTTTTCGGTTTGTCGGAGGGGTAGCCACCTGGCTGGATCGGACAAGCAAATTCCATTATGAAGGCTAGAAAAAGGAGATTCTAAGGCTCATTCGTTCAACTTGTGGCATCCTGTCACGGGGAAATGATCACACCACTTCGATGTGTGTGACAGATTCTTTATCTATCTGAGTCTATCTGTGTCTTTTCATATATGGCCTCCGAAGACCTCACAGGCCTGAATGTTGTAAAGTAGGAGTGTGGGAGCCTGGGAGCGAGGAGGAAACGTGCTTTTTAGGTGAGATGCATCAGGCGTTGAGTCCACTCCTCGGAAGGAGGAAGTGGACTCGAGGCCAGCAGTTACAAAGGTGAAAAGATCTAAGACCACCGAGAGCCTAGCTCACCTCCTTTTCAGTCCGTTCAAAAAACCATCATGGCATCCGTTCAAGTGCCGACAACTCATGAATTATATCAGATCTCGACTAGAGATCTATCTCCAGATATGCCGCTCTTCTTCGACTTGTCCTTGATGGGTACCCGAAGGAAAAAAAAGGTCCATTCAGTCAGTTCCAGATAGCTCGCAAGCAGCTGAGCTGACACTCTTTTCGCACTCATCCCCCTTCGCTCTTCTTTCCTCCATTCGGGTGAATTTGTCGGGCGAAATTCGTGGGTAAGCTCGCTGAAGCTTTAAGGAGACAAGATCCATCTAGACAACTGACAGATAAAGCTTCCGTCCCCATCCTCATGTGTGTCAGGCTAAAGCTACGCACACACTGTTCAACAAACTAACATCTGGATGAAAATCTTAGAGAATATGTTCGCGAGTGATGTGAATGGTGGAACGAAGCAGCAGAGTAAAGGGAGGAATAAATTTGGAGGGGGGAAATACAATCTTTCTGGGGCAACACGAAGAAATGTATAATTATTATCTCCCCTTCTCGTCTCCAATCACTAGTAGAATATCAATAATTCATTTTCAAAAGCTGCTAGCGACTGAAGAATGAATGACTGAATGAATGCTAGGCAAGGGAAGGGATATGAAGGTTAAAGTGAGCTATAGGCCTGGCCCAGGCCCCAGGCCCAGCCTAGTGGCGAACGATTACATGGTTGAATGAATTCCCTGTAGTATATCCACTTGACTGCTCCCCACTTGGTACAGTAGCTCCTTTCCCAATGAACATACCTTCCTTTATGGCTCTTTGTTGGAAACTTCCCCTTTCCAATTTCTGCCATTTCTTCCAGATCTCTCCGGAATCCCTCCCGCTCCTTATATTAGTTTTTGATATTGCAGTTTTTCATGATTTCTTGCTGCTTCTCTTTTACCTTTCTCTTTGAATCTCCATACGGTTCTTTAAAGTATCTCAATCTACATGCCTCGAACTATCGTATGCTTTCAGTTGCATTCTGAAGGACACACTGCGACTCGTTAAATATTGTCGAGCAACTGCGAGGACTTCTTCTATCCTTTATATATAATTTATACATGGAATATCATTTTGCCTTTCGTTGCTTTTCCTGTTACAGGTACAAGTATAGGAATCCGTATACATCGCATAAAAGGCGTGCCGTATGGCTACAGAGACAAATTTTATCCAGTCACTGCACATATCTACACCCACGTTCTATACTGCAAATACGCTGCTGGCAACTGAGGAACTAAAATACCCAGAAGATTTCCACTGTCCCCGACTAAGCAGCTCAAATCGAAAGTAAAAGGGAAAAGGAAAATCCAAGCCTATGTGGTCATGATAGGAACTTCCAGCTCATTAAGTTGCTCACCCTGAACTTATCTGGCTGAATACCATACCAGTTAAGATAAAAGGAGGTGTGAGGTTCTGGGGTGGGGATTCTCGGTCTTTATCAGAGAAGGGAAATAATCCTGGAACTCGTTTCTGTAAAGTGTAAACAGCAAGTGCCCCCACGATCTGCCACCTTAAATTTAGAATATGCGACACAAAGAACCAATGACAAAAGAGGATCAACAAGACTAATAAGTGCTGGGAATTATGTGACCGCAATAAATCGTCTGATTATCTCGACCGGAGGTGGACGGGGCGGGGCTGGCTCTTTTCCATGAAGTATATGCTGGGGTACATGCAGAGAGTGACAGTAATAAATTGAAAAGTGCATGATTATGCACCTATACGATACGAATGGAACAAGGCGCTTTTACTGTGAACGAGGAATAACATAAAATATTTGGGGTCTTCTCATTCTTGCACGCACTCGTACTTAAATGGCTGATTTTTTCAGACTATTAATAGCTGTTTAATATTCTCTGGTAAAGCTACCTTGGGACGTACGTACACTTGCCACCCATACGTATGCGTAGTAGGTAGTATGGATGTGTATTGCATACTGTATATGGTATGCCGCCACCCTTTCTCCGTTGTCTTTTCTCGTATTTCGCATTTATTTTATTGGCACAAAATATATAAAAATTCTCTTTGGGTGGTGCGAATTTAGTTGGCCTTTTAAGTGACGACTTTGTATCCGTTCCGGAAGACCATTTTGACTTCTAACTTTCCGTCCAAGGCCACCATGGAGACACGTGTACTTTTTGGACGGAACCTCCCCCTGACTTGCAAAATGCTCCATTTGGGTTGGAGTTTGGTTGGGTCTTGTGCACAGTCCCTGACCCCGCCCAGGCGCTCCTTTTCGATTTGCCTCTCTCTCTCTCTCTCTCTCTCTGAATTAATATCTGCTAAGTGTTTTGGTTTCGCCCTCAACAGCCCATAACTATACTTCAGGTTTATTTATTATTGTACAATTCTTAGGACAACTCTTTAGAACGATTTTTCTTTACCCACTCTTGCCTTTCATAATTTTCTTCTTTGGCTAATTCAAGCGTTTTATAAATTGTAGATGAATGTGCTGGATAGGACCATCCATGGATTTCCTACCAGAAATCACAGTAGAAACATACGATCTGTCCCTTCATGGATTTCAGAAACTTGCAATTATGAGCTGCTTGATCTTCAATATATTAGCTTGAAACTTATATATTAAACAGTGAAGGGATTTGATCCTCTCGGTCACTTTAATCTGAACAAGCGTAAGAAAAAGATGCCTGTGAAATTTTTCTTACTTTCAAGCTACTTCACAGTATGATATTGGTTGGTATAAAATTAGAAGATATTTCTCTGATATTCTTCTGGATATTGTTTAATATTTTTTTGGTACATTCTCTAAATATGTAGATTCTGCTTGTCTACCTTTATACATACATGACTTCTAAAATGAGACTTCCGAGTTAGTTTCTTCTGGTGTCTAACACATATCAAACATTCGGAATCTAATCTACTACTTTTCATCATAGATATGCTTCGTACAAATTTCCATACAAAACACATTCTTACTTCATGAATGTGGAATCTATTAAACGTAGCTCTCATACGAGTCCCAAGAAAAAAATGTGGTAACAATAGTGTTTTTGATAGAATAAAGCTGAATTCATTCGATGCAACATCTTTCATAGGAGTCTAAACAAATAGGTTTACAAGCTTAGAGTAGACTAAGGGTGGAGGCTAGTCCAAGAGGAGCCGTGCAATAATTCCATGAGGTGGAGAGAGCGGAATGGATATACCTTTTGAACATACAACCTCAAAAGTGATTCAATGAGCAAAATATCCCTTTTCCAACTAAGAATGGTTTGTATGAGTATCTCGTGCATTGTTCTCATTAACAAGATAGAGTAAAGAAGAAATGACCGTATGAACAAATCAGAAGACCAAAGAAATTTTGAATAATAGACCATTACTTTTCAGCGAACAAATACTAACGCACTCTATTTTTACAAGTCATAGAAAGGGAGAAGGATATTTATGTGTGGGATCCCCAATTTTTAGCACTTTCCAACAACCAATATTATATTGGAGATCATGAACTCTAATTCATGATGTATACATATCTGTGCTTTTCAGGTTAGGCTACTCGAATGCGACCTCCCCCAAACTCATTTCTAGTTCGTCTATTCGCGGCCATCAGAATTTCCCAATTTTCCATCTTTAAAATAATACCTAGTCTTCTAGTTTGGTTTAGCACGTCTATTTTTTTAACCAAAGTTTCTACATTGAATCTTCTTAGGTACATCCTTTCATTCCGGACCGAAATTGAGGTCTCCAAGAATGCTTTTTAATTTGTGTTCCAAATACGCCTGGAAAGCAATATATAAGTCGAGAGCGGAGGAAATGGAAGCATTGAAAGAAGATTAGTGAGTGAAGATCTCAGTATAGCGACTTTAATAACTGCTGATACGAGGAAAACATCATATTTAAATGTTATGGAATTTGAGTATTTAACCTTACGGATATTGCACACAAATTGAAAAAAAGGAAGATAAAAAAGTCGGCTTTTATCGGGTATGTGTGAAGAGGAAGAGTAAACACGACACAATAGACCCTGCCATCCACTTGTACCATGCTTTTTGTAAATAAGAGAGTGAGGAATGATATAGCGAAAAGTAGGGAAAGAGTCCATTAAGGCGTAGAGGGATGAAACGAAGCGGGTAGATGAGACTAGGCTCCAATA